CTGTTTAGCCACTTGCCTGATCACTATTATTTGTTCTCATTTCATCTGCATCTGCGTTCTTCAGGCTTGGTTTTCCATCAGTTGGCCCAGACAGTTTCCCAGTTTCGGCCAAGTCCAGAACTGTTTTTCTTCTCAGTCGTTTTTTGTTTGCGTTCTTGCATCTTCTTTCTTGCTATTTGTTTAGTTTGTGATGATGATCATGTATCTTAGCAGGAGCATGTGTTATTTCAAATTGGCAAACTTAGTAACACTCAGCTTTATGCCACACCGCTGCCTCAGCGGGTTGTTCCAGGCAGCACAAATATTAGTGCGGTAGTATGATAGGAGGTAATACTAAGCTATTGTAGTAAGTACCAGGAGTCCCAAGTTGCAATTTCAGTTATCGAATTCAGTTTGCATTTTGAACTAATAATTTCAATATCAAAATTTCAGTAAGATTCTAATTTCAGATTTTAAGCGCATTAATATTTTTTTTGCAGGGCAACGCGCTGAAGCAATATGTGATTGAGATCGAACGGTTTCCAAGGACAGGCGTGAACGAGCACACACTAAACAACTTTCTTGGAGTAAGTCGGCACTAGCCCTCTTGTTGTTTTATGCTTAAGTAAGTTGTTTGAGCTAGTGGTTTTTTCTACTTAATATCTTTATATCTTTGCATGACAGAGGCTAGCACGTAAGCTGCGGCGTGCTGCAGCTCGTTGTGGTTGTGGTACTAGTGTGGCGATGGACATACACGGGCCACACACACGACAATGGGATACACCTGTAGGCCTTGGTACTTCTTCTCACGGAGGTACTAGCGCTGTGACTGTGGATACTTTCCAAGGCTAAGGAGACGAGGACGACGAGGAAGACGACGTGGAGGCCAAGGAGCGTGGTTATGGGGAGCTTGTCGAGTCTCAGCTCCAGGACGCTCCTTCGACTCAGCCTACGCAGGTTACAGGAACGAGACGACGCCGTCCGCCTTGCACGTACACTCTAGGCACTTACGCTCTTGGCCACAAGGGTAAGGGTAAGACTAGGAGGCAGTGACGACGACTTGTGTGGAGATTCGATGCCACAAACTATTTGGGCTGCATGGACTTTGCTTATTTTGCATGTATGGAGATTTGAAAAGTATGTAGTTACTTTCCTATAATTATTTGGGACTGTATGGACATTGTGGACTATTTGGACTATGCAGGATATGTTATGTTGATTGTGATGTTCGATGTGGTTGTATTGTGCTCTTTGGATGATTAAATGTTTGGATTATATAATGATGTCTCTGTTTGTAACCGTGGATGCTCCTGAAACAAGGGACATTTTGTGTTTTTTTCCTTGAATCATTAATTATACTACACTGCTAAAATGGCATAAATGTAGTACACATATTAAATTTAAATTCATTAGAACGTGTATAGTCCAATCGTATCGTACAGATGCTTTGCAGATGAATCTAGGCTTTTCATTAACAGTGAACGAATCTGGGTTTTTCAGATAATAATACACCTATAGGAATGACGGTTTGCTCAAGATAGGAAGGCATGCAAGGAAGCACAACAAAGGCATGCAAGGAAGCACAACTCCACTCCATCTCCACCATCCATCTTATTACTGTTTGATCCAATGGCTCAGGTGAAGAGGCACACGGATCGCTAACATGGCACATTGAGAGGCCTCCATTCATCCTCTCAACCTATAAATAACCCCTCACTCCCTCTCATTCACACACAACAAGGAAGAAGAGCACTCCTCAGCATTTTCTTTCGTTGCAATACCCATATCTACATAACTTTTCAATAAGCGAATAAGGGAACAAATTCGTACCATGTGCCAAAAGGTTATTCTTAGCTCATAACAGGGTTTAGGGTAAATAGGACCGCAGTCTCAGAGTTAGCATAGACCACTTCAACACTAAGGAAAGATGGGGAACTTACCTTGTAGATTCAGAAGTAGGCACAGGGCTATCAGCATTGGCATTCTTCTGCTCTGTCTCGTTAGCAGACACCACTTTCTCAGCTTCTGTTCGAGCATAATCACTATAAACATAGCAGCCACCATTGCTATAGAGATTTCCATCAACATTGTTGTAATTGCTGCTAGAATCTTGATGGGAATTGTTGATAGGTCTTTTCTTGTCATCCTCCAGAGGAATCCAATGCTCTTTTCTATGCGGAACCAATATAGCATGCCCCTGCCTCAGTTTCCTCTGCTCCTTCGGCGACTCTTTGAGATGAATGTCACTATCTCATTGCTCCTTCAGCTTTGTTTCATCCACCCTTAGTCTTACACCTAGCATCCAACAAGAGCATAGCAGGTGAGACGCAAACCAAAGTGCACATGAAAACAAATAAGCGCATAAAGATCATTGATAACCTGGACAATAAACCCAATCTACCGATCAGCAATAATGGTATAAAGGTAACTGTGTTGGCGCAACTTTACTATTTACGTAGAATAGAACAATCGACACAAACGGCAAGAATACGCCACGCTAATACAATACTAAATTAGGAATTAGTAGATTTGATCCAACAAGATCTGAATTAGGAATCATATAACTAGCTAGCAGATTCATAATGAACCGGATCCACATGGCACACATCGATTGACAAAATGAAGAATATAATTCGAATGGAATACTAATCTTTAGCCACATCACAATAACACAAAGTCCAACCAATAGCATCAACCAATGCAAGCAGAGGCGTGATCATCTAATCTATAGATGAGACGTGATCATCTAATCTAGATGAGAGGAACGCCAACCAATCACAACCACCAATCATCCAACACAATCATCTAATCTCAATGAGGGAACCCACCACCGCGATCATCTAATCTAGATGATGGGAACCAGAAGGCGGGGATCGAGGGTTGGGAAGCGGTGGATACGTACCATAGTCGTTGTCGTGCTGCAGCTTGGTGCCTCGGATTCCCTAGAATAAAACATCGCAAGCTATTAAACCCCAGGCTTGAAAAAATTATCATCACACGATGCATAATATTGTAGGTGAAGTAAAAGTATAGGGCATTTGCTCAATAGTTCTACAGATGCAATAGACATCATTATACGCCATAATCAACAACCAAAATTGGTCCCATCGTAGACCCAAAGGATCTATAATGACTGGACAAACCACCGCATAAACATCCCACAGTTCACCGTGATCAAACTACAATGGTATCACACGTCCAGTTGCTGCTTCCACCAGCGGATCACCCCTGAAAGTACTAAAAATTTGACAAAATATCACCAAAACCTTACCAAATCAAAGCCCTAAACCCACTACAAGATGCTTGAAACAGCAACTTCCCCACCATTAAAACCGAGCAAAACCACCAAAAAGATATTGAGATGGTCGGAAAGCCCTAGAGCGAGCCTAAGCGCGGCTTTGTGATGGGATATGGGAGCGATTAGAGAACTTACCCTGCAGATTCAGAAGCAGGCACGTCAGTACTAGCATTGGCATTCTTCTGCTCTTCTGTCTTAGCAGACACTACTTTCTCAGCCTCTGTTCCAGCATCAGAGAACACCTTACGCTCAAGCTTTGCAGCAGCATCAGAGGATGACTTCTCCTTGACCCTGTTCTCCCCATGGAAATCCTGCCTCCCACCGACTCTAGCGAATAACCATATGAAGATCATCCATTACAATCGACACATCACTTTGTCTAGACTGGACACAATCACTATTTCGATAAGAAAAAAAAATCAAGCTAACCCATATCTACATAACTTTTCAATAAGCGAATAAGGGAACAAATTCGTACCATGTGCCAAAAAGGTTATTCTTAGCTCATAACAAGATTTAGGGTAAATAGGACCGCAGTCTCAGAGTTAGCATAGACCACTTCAACACTAAGGAAAGATGGGGAACTTACCTAGCAGATTCAGAAGCAGGCACAGGGCTATCAGCATTGGCATTCTTCTGCTTTGTCTCGTTAGCAGACACCACTTTCTCAGCTTCTGTTCCAGCATAATCACTGTAAACATAGCAGCCACCATTGTTATAGAGATTTCCATCAACATTGTTGTAATTGCTGCCAGAATCTTGATGAGAATTGTTGGTAGGTCTTTTCTTGTCATCCTCCAGAGGAATCCAATGCTCTTTTCTATGCAGAACCAATATAGCATGCCCCTGCCTCCTTCGGCGACTCTTTGAGATGAATGTCACTATCTCCTTGCTCCTTTAGCTTTGTTTCATACACCCTTAGTCTTACACCTGGCATCCAGCAAGAGCATAGCAGGTGAGATGCAAACCAAAGTTCACATGAAAACAAATAAGCGCATAAAGATAATTGATAACCTAGACAATAAACCCAATCTACCGATCAACAATAACGGCATAAAGGTAATTGTGTTGGCGCAGCTTTACTATTTACGTAGAATAGAACAATCGACACAAACGGCAAGAATACGCCACGCTAATACAATACTGAATTAGGAATTAGTAGATTTGATCCAACAAGATCTGAATTAGGAATCATATAACTAGCTAGCAGATTCATAATGAACCGGATCCACATGGCACACATCGATTGACAAAATGAAGAATATAATTCGAACGGTATACTAATCTTTAGCCACATCACAGTAACACAAAGTCCAACCAATAGCATCAACCAATGCAAGCAGCAGCGTGATCATCTAATCTATAGATGAGACGTGATCATCTAATCTAGATGAGAGGAACGCCAACCAATCACAACCACCAACCATCCAACACGATCATCTAATCTCAATGAGTAAACCCACCACCGCGATCATCTAATCTAGATGACGGGAACCAGAAGGCGGGGATCGAGGGTTGGGAAGCGGCGGATACGTACCATAGTCGTTGTCGTGCTGTAGCTTGGTGGAGGGCTTGAGCGCGTCCTTGTCCGCGTCGGCGCAGTCAGCGAGCTTGGCGGGTGGTGGGGGTGGGGGCGGCGGCGTCGGCCAGCTTGGCGGGCTCGGGGTCGGTGGCGTCGGCGAGCTTGGCGGGGTCGGCGGCGGTCTTCCTCTTGCCGACGACGATGGACACCGCGGCCGCCCCGGACTCGCCGTCCGGCAGCTCCAGCTGGTCGGAGAGGTTGGCGGCGACCATTGTGGAGGAGGAGGCGGCGGAAACCCTATCCCGCCTTTCGACGACCCTGCTGACCTGCTCTAGCTTTCGACTCGATGCTTTTGATCGATTGATCAATCTATCTATCGCTGTTGGGTTGGGACGGTTTGTTTTGTTCCCGGTGGTGGAGGACCGGAGGAGAGGCGGTTACGAGCGTGCTTTCCACGCGGACGCCGGATCCGCCGTTGATTCCATTGATCGGTTCCCTTTGATCGATCGTCAGGTTCTAGTAATCCAGTTCGTCTTGCTTTTTCGCCCACAGGAGAGGCAGTGTGCTTGTTGGCCGCGTGGTTGTGTTCGGCTTGTGACAAAAGAAGAAGAAAAAAGTTGCACGTGCGACGAAGTAATTCCTGCTTAATTAGAGTTAACTTCCGCACTAAATAAAGTTTTTGAACCTGGTTTAGTACACCGCACATTCATTAGGGGCCATGCTTGGGTTCCAAGAAAGAAGCCCTGGCGACGAAGTAATTTCTGTGTTTTAAAGTAGTACGTACAGTAAGTGGCGGAGCCAGGATTCCAAACTTGGGTATTCCTACTTCCACGTCAATAAAAAAAATCAGTTGTTTTTAACTGCAATGAGTGAAAATACTACAAAATATGAGTCAATTTGAGAGGCTGTTTTTTTACTGTTTTGGGCTTCAATGAGTGAAAATACTACTCCCTCCATCCCAAATTGTAAGTCATTCTAAGAATCTTGGAGAGTCAAATTTTTTTGAAGTTTGACTAAAATTATAGAGAAAAATACAAAGATTGATGACATCAAACAGGTATAATATGAAAATATAACTAATGAAGAATCTAATGATACTTACTTGGTATGATAAATATTATTATTTTGTTATATAAATTTGGTCAAACTTAAAAAACTTTGACTCTCCAAGATTCTTGGAATGACTTACAATTTGGGATGGAGGGAGTACAAAATATGGCATTATACATATACATATACAAGTATATACACATATATACATAGAAGTGTGCTAAAATAGTTGGGTATTCCTGGGAATACCCTCTGTATCCGCCCATGCGTACAGTACTAGGCACTAGGCAGGACCCCTGGCGTAACACACCGAACGATCGAGTACGTGTGCCGCCGCGTACGAGTATACGATCGGGCACCAGGATGGCAAAGAAAACGTGCAACCAATACTTAACATGGTACGAGATGGGCTCCACAAACTCTGATGCTACCGAGGAAAAAAGAAAATCTGACGCGTGATGTGATGTATAGAATCAGTTTGATAGCAACTGCAGATTGACACGCTCGAGATCGTACGCAGTTGTTGCTGCGAGCTCTCGTACGTGAAACGTGATCCAATCGACGACAGGCGAGATGCCGGGAGGCGGCGGCATCAAAAGGGCCACGGCAACGCGCGGGGTCGTCTCCTCGCCAACGATGCGCCCAGGGCGGTGGATCATGATGCTCCGGTACAAACGTGCCATCCCAAACCGGCGTCGTCTCCTCCATGTCTCGCCGGCCAGTGCATCCAGGTGGGCGTTTCGGTCTTCCGGAGCTCCTCGACCACCACCGAGGGCCTCCTCGTCGTGCTCGGCGAGACTGCCAACGTCGTCCAAGGGCGGCAACTTCGAGCTCGGTCTCTTCTCCCCGGGCAACTCCAAGAGGCACTACATAGCATAGGCATCTGGTTCAAGAAAACCTCCAAGCAAACGGTCGTTTGGGTGGCGAACCGGGAGCGCCCGGTCCTTGAGCCGTCGGCCTCTCGCTTCGCGCTGAGCGACCGCGGCGAGCTCGTGCTCCTGGCCACGCCGTCCAACACGCTGCTGTGGTCGTCGAACGCGACCTCCCCGTCGCCGCGCACCACCGCCGCGCCACGCTCCAGGACGACGGCAACCTCGTGGTACGGAGCGACGCCACGGCGTCGCCGCCGTCGTCCCTCGTGACATGGCAGAGCTTCGACCACCCTACAGACACGTGGCTCCCCGGAGCTAATCTAGAATACGACAGGGCCCGCGGCGTCCACAGCTTCCTCACATCGTGGACGGACGCCGAGAACCCGGCACCCGGCGCGTTCTCCATGGTGATCGATCCGCACGGGCAGACCAAGCTGGACCTGCTTGCCGGCGGCGAGCGCCGGTACTGGACGACCGGCCTCTGGGACGGCGAGATCTTCACCATCCTGCCGGAGATGCGGTCGGGCTCCTTCGTCGGCGTCCCCTACGCGCCGAACGCCAGCGTCAACTTCTTCAGCTACCACGACCGGGTGCCGCTGGGCATCCGCAACTTCGTGCTGAACGTGAGCGGGCAGATGCATCGGCGGCAATGGAGCGGCACGGCGGGGGACTGGAACCTCTTCTGCTCCGAGCCCCACGACCCGTGCGCCGTCCGCGGCGCGTGCGTGCCCTTCGCCGTGTGCAGCAGGGCCACCAGCCCGCCGGCGTGCCGGTGTCCCGCGGTTTCGCGCCACGGGTGATGGGGGAGTGGAGGCAGGGGAACATGGCCTCAGGATGCGAGAGGCGGCGAAGCCTGCTGGCGGATTGCCACGCGGACGGGTTCCTCGAACTGCCGTACGCCGTGCAGCTCCCCGGCGGCTCGGCGGAGGAGGCCGCCGGAGCACGGAGCGGCAGGGCGTGAGAGCTCTCCTGCTTTCGGGACTGCTCGTGCAGCGCGTACATTTACGATGGAGAAAAGTGTTCCATGTGGAAGGGCGAGGTCGCCAACATAAGGAGAGTCTCAAACGATCAAGGCGATCATGGAGTCGCAAGCGTCGTACTTCACCTCCGCGTCGCGGCATCGGGGGTGCCGTCGGCGCGTTCGTCGAAGAAATCAGAGGTGATCCATGGCAGCGGAGTAGCGGCTGCTGCTGACTTACTTCTGACAAGTCTTGTAGTGGGCGGTGCAGCCCGGCTCGCTTCTGGTGTTTTACTACCGCGCCGTGAAGGAGGCGACGCGGGATTTCTCTGAGAAGCTCGGGAGCGGGGGCTTCGGCTCCGTCTTCAGGGGCGCGCTCCCGGACGCGACGCCCGTGGCCGTCAAGAAGCTCGACGGCTGGCATCAGGGCCAGTGCGGGAAGCAGTTTCCGCGCCGAGGTGCTCACCCTCGGCATGATCGACCACGTCAACCTCGTCCGCCTCCGCGCTCCGCGGCTTCTGCTCCGAGGGGAATCGAAATCGCTCGTGTACGATATTGTGTTAATTTTTCGTTGCACGGCCCCGTTTGGGAATCGAAATCGGTTTGTGTGCGGAGGACATTTCGATTCGTATTCGGATCGGCTTACGTTCCAAGCTTGTCTTCCAGCCCCGTGTAAATCGTATTCTCTGTGCGCAGGGGCACAGGGGGAGAAACCAGGCAGAGGAAGGAAGGAAGAACGGGCAGACCGAGATGTCGAAGCGGCCGCGCAAAGAGTCGCACGAAGACGACGCAGAGATGAGGAGAGGCTGCAGCCCGAGGACGCCAAAGCCCCTGGTGAGGGGTCTGGTACCCTGGTCTCACTCGGCCAATTCGCCGGCGCGGCAGCGATACCTGTACCTGGTGCTGGACGACTGGCAGAGGGGGTACAGCATTCACAGGTTGGGCGAGGATGACTTCAAGTCCGACGCCGGCCTGGACGCCCGCGCCGCTGAGTGCCCTCTTGTCCGCGTTCAGGCGCAGCACGCCTACACGTGCTCCTTCGCGGACCACGGCTCCAAGATCTTGGCGATGCAACCTGCGGGGTTCAGCCCCGGCATCCCCGTGTTCGACACCGAGACGCTGGAGATGACGGTGTACACGGGGCTGGAAGACAAGCTTGGAACGTAAGACGATCCGAATACGAATCGAAATGTCCTCCGCACACAAACCGATTTCGATTCCCAAACGGGGCCGTGCAACGAAAAATTAACACAAACAACAAAGGAAACAACTGCTCCCGAGATCGGACTGGTACCCCTTTAGTTTGCAAGAAAAACAGCACCAAAACGTTTTCCACCCTAAACCCAAATCAGTATCATCCTAGAAACGGAGGTTTCCTGAATCGAAATATCCTCGGCTCGGAAACAAACCCCAAAAAGAAAGCATCTTGACCGACTTGCAACACCGATTGGAATGTGCAGCGTAAGTTTTCAAGAAAAAGACCTTGCTCCAGCCGATTCAAGGTTCTGAGGCAGGGTCCTCGCCTTGATGTTCGTCACCGAGGCACGACATCCTCATGAGCTCATGGCGGAGGAGCAGCTCTTGCTGATGTGTTGCGTTTTCGCACGGGACTCCGTGAGCGCGGGGACAGGCATGGATCCGCCCGTGAGCATGGGCATGCGGACGGTGGAGGCGGCTAGGCTTAGGCCTGTGGCGACGCGGAGAGAAGGGAATGGAGCGGCGCAGCTACGGCCTAGCGGCGGCGTGGAGCGTAACGGGGAAGAAGGGGCGTCGGGTCTGGGAATAGGGAAGGGCGGACCGTGGACCGTGGACGGCTGGCCGAGTAGGGGAGGCGTTAGGGTTTGTTGTTGGGCTGGTTCTTGAGCGGGCTTTTGTTGGGCTGCTCTGCTGGTGTTCAGTTCGATTATCCAAGGGTGTACATAAATTTGTTCTTTTAGTGATTGGCTGTTTATTGAGTACTTCTTCACAAATTTATTTGATATGAAAGAATGGGTAGCTCCTGAATCAAATAGTACTAGGCTAGGATGGCCAATCGTTAATAAGTTACCTGACTCCACATTGTTGGATTCCTCTGCATTCTTCTTTGTCATATTGAACACTCTAGCTCGGTTTCCAGCCGGAAACTTTCCCTTGTGATTCAGCTGCCCTCCATTATTGTTACTGTTGTTTGAATTAGGAACTCGAGTTAATGTAGGGTGGTTATTGGCTTGAGGAGGTCCTGGCAAGTACAGGGGGTGTGTAGCTGGAGGCAGAGGCATGGCCTTTTGATTTCCTTGCCCCACTTGTTTATTAGTTGGCTGAAATTTTGGACACTCATATTTAGTATGCCCTGCTTGACCACACTCATAACACCTACCCCAACGGTATTTGCAGGTATTTGGATGGTGATTTTCCTACATATTGGACAGTTTCTTGATTGGGCTCTAGAGGATTCAGTTCTATACTGTTCACCAATATCTTCCTTTCTGAATTTCCCTTGGTAGGACATGTTTCCATATTTAGGCTTCTTAATTGGATGTCCCAATTCTTTCCTTTCTTCTCTGAATGTGTCAAGTTCAAATGCTTCCACCCTCCGTTTAAGTGGTTGGCGAAGCCCACTCTCAAAGCGTCGAGCCCTTGAACTGTCTGTTCTAACAAATTCTGGAGCAAAACGAGCCAGCCATGAAAATTCAATCTCATACTCTGAGACAGATTTATTTCCTTGGTTCAGCTCTAAATTTTTTTTTTTCATTCGCTTCATACTCTCTGGGAAATATTTTTTGTAAAAAGCTTCCTTAAATATGTTCCATGTGATCCCTAAGTCTTCAGGATATAACTTCTTATGAGCATCCCACCACTCAAAAGCACTTGACTGTAACATGTAAATTGCATATGTAACCTTTTCACTTTCAGTACACCCCATGGCACCAGATGCCTTTTCCATGGCTGTAATCCAATCTTCTGCTACAAGGGGGTTTGCTGTTCGAGAGAAAGATGGAGGATTCAAGTTTCTAAATTCTGCAAGCCGATTACGATTTGCATCCTTTCTTGCCATGCATTCTATGATGTCCATCTGCCGCTGTTGAGTTTGTTGTTGCTTTCCCAGTATATCAGCCAGCATTTGGGACAATGGTTTTTGCTCAGCTATCACAAGCCCTGTGCTACTATTTGCCCCATTTTGGGTTGTGCTAATGACCATTCCGCGTGCCCTCCATTCTATAATAAAGAAGTTATTATTTAGTAAATTTAGGTGGTACAGGTTAGTAGAGAGCAGTACACATGTACAGATTTACGTATGAGCTTGCTGGTGTCAAGTGCAAGCATAAAAGTAACTCAGATTCAACTTTTTTATATATATTCAGTCCATGTTTAAATTCAAACTTTTATTTTGTGAGTCCAACTGTTATTTAAATCTGTGAATTAATTGAAATATATGTCTCTGCATTCACAAGCATTGGTCGACAGAGATAGGCACACTTTCTCAATTGTAGTATATAGTTAGTTACTTAGCATTTTTTTCGTCATTTATTCTTTCCTGGCCACCATGTACTTTTATCCAAAGATCACGAAATTTAGTACGGGAATAGTAAAACATTTGTGCCATCATAAACACCAAACATGATAAAGCAAAGTTCTGTTATACAGACCACCTTACAACTGAAAGCAAGCAAGAAGGACAACTGAAGACAACCAAACACTAACTGTGAGTCCAGAAGCACTCTTATGCAGTTCAAACCTAACTGTAAACAGCAACTATGATCATCTTTCCCCCTCCTAGTTCTACTGAAGTAAGTGGTGCTCACCAGTAACAATCTAAAGCTTCCCAAGTACCGGCTGCCTTGCAACTCGTGAGACACAAAATCAGCCCCCCCCCCCGGCCTAACAAAAAGAAGCCTGAGTTTACAAGGCATACGTCAACCAACTGTGTGAATGAAGTTGCTGAAAAGAAAACACGCCCCATCCTGCTACCCTTTAGACACTGCCATAGCCACTATCAGAGCCACCACGATGACGTGCTGCCAGAGCCTGACGCAGCCCAAGGATGCGACGGAAGAAGCTCTTGGTCAGTAGCTTCAGGAAAGAACGCTGATTCTCAGTAGTGAGAAGCATCCTAAGCAGCTCACAGCAGAGTGTCTCAACATCATGAACCCTCTCCTGCAGGTTTGCGACCTGATTGCGCAGCACAACAACCTGAGGGTAATTGATGCCTTGAAGTTCAACTTGATACTCTGCTGCAAGTGCATGGATAGCCATCAGGGAAGCAGTCTGCTCAGCATCTGCAACAGTAGGACCAGTAGCCTCATAGTAGAAACATGGTTTTAGGTATATGAGCCCTCTAAATTTTGAAAACCCCTTCGAGGCTCATATTTCAACTTTTTCTAGCATGTTTAATGGATATATAATTTTGAAAGTTGAACCATTAATCCCGGAAGTGCCTAGAAAATTACATTTAATCATAGAAAAATGGTTTTAGGTTTATGACCTCTCTCAATCTTGAAGAACTTTAGACATAATACCCTCTGAGAGTGTCATATTTATATGTTTTTCCTAGCAATGTGAATGGGTAAATATTTTTGTAAGGAAAATTCTGGGAAATTATATAAATTATCTATTGAATAGATTAATCAACATTAATTAATTTTGCACTTGTTTCATGCATTTAAACACATGAAGTGTGCCTGTAGCAATTGCATGAATAATGTAGGATGTGACATGAAGTCCATTATTTCTTGAAGAAATGTAATATTGGTTTTATGCATAGCACAATGTAATTTCCAGAAGAAATGCTATATAACTCTGAAAGTTATTTTAGCTAATTGAAATCAACATATTTACTTCCCAACATGGCATTATGATTTTACAATAGCAGTAAAATCTTAAGAAGTATGTCCACTATTTGAGTTCATACATAACATGAAGTTATGCAGAATTGATATGTTTTCTTGAAGAATCATATTGTGTTGCCACGTTGGCACTTTTGCAATTCAAGACGAATATGCATAAACTCAATATAGAAAATATTATGCAATCAGAAGTTGTATAAAACAAGGAAGTGGAAGGGAAATAATGTACATTTCAAAAGTAATTTTGGGCTTAGGGGGAGATGCATTGAGACTGTTGTCGGTGTTTTATACCCGGCAACCTACCGAGAAGTATCCCGAGGTAGTAGATTCGTTGGTGGGGGATCGCCGGACCTGTAACATGAAGGTAAAAGCGAGGACACAAGACACAGATTTATACAGGTTCGGGCCGCCAGAGTAGCGTAATACCCTACATCCTATTTGGGGTGTTGTATGTTGTGCCCTGCGCTTGGGTGTTGTTTGATATTGAGGATTTGGTCCTCTTGTGGTTCTATGAGGTCTTGGCCTACCGATTTAGGGACCCCTTGTCACGCCCCAAACATAAACTTGGAGATGGCAGCCGCCGTACACTTGTGAACACTTGCAGTTCATAAGGGTACAAGGCTATGTGGAACAGTAGTTTCATCTCAACTGAAGTGACATTCATTCTTTATTCATGATTCCAAGCATACAAGAGTTACACTGGTGTACTGATCACCAATTTAGTTGTGATAGAAACTAAACTACAGCTACTGTTGTTCATAGTCGTCACTCCCCATCCCGACCACACCTTCGTCTTCTTTCATTTCTGCGCATATCAGTAAAACACAAGCAAGCAATGAGCATGTTACCACACTCAGCAAGTTAAGTTCTGAATATATGTTCCTGCTTACCACAGGAGAGTTGGCATTAAAACATAAACAGGGACAATAATAGTTCATAGTCTTTAGTATTTCTCTGCAGAGAAGTATTCATTAAGTCATCATAATTTCCGCCTTATAGTATTACCCCATCTCTGAGAAACCTACACCATATCCTCTACTTGAGTGAGGATGCCCATCTCACCCTGATACCGGCCTTGCCGCATATCACAGTTTCAAGGATTGGCTGTCCCAGGCTAAGTAATACACAATTCTTTTCCCAAATTATGACGACTAGAGTTCAGTTTTTAATTATCATCTCATAGTTGGTTACATGTCATGATTTAATAGGTTCTGATATGCGCAGTTTGCCTTGATTGGTTCACTGTGTTCTTCCTTGTCCTCCTTGCAATCAGGACCTAACATATTGGATGAGTTTCAGTTAAATTATTACAGTCTTTAGCATCCAATTTAATTAGTGAGAGTA